TCTGCTATTCATAAGGTTTTCCCTGGCCAATTCTTTGAGAAGTGGATGGCCTCTTCCTTCTTCCTAGTCTGTCTCAGTCTGCAAGCTGTGCTGAAACCTGTGCACCATGTGTTCCCCGCTGGGTTTGAAACACTGGTGGCACCGCCTCAAGACTCACAGCAACACGTCACCACAGTAGGACAAACCAACAAATTTGTCTCCCTTAGCTATGGGTAACCTCCCCAAGCCCCCGTCACCTGGATCCCTGCACCTCTGCCCCTTTCCTGTCTTGCTGCTTGTGGGGTGTGGCCTGGGTTCCCTCCCCTCACCTGGATCCCTGCGGCTGATTCCCTACAGCAGGGAAAAGCCCATTATAGTTTCTTAATCCCCTTCCTCTGAGGCACCAACAGACTAATCTCCAAGGCTGTGGGGGAACTGGACACCCTGGCTCTGCCCGCACAGCCGCGGGGTCGGAGGCCAGAGGTCACTTTCTGAACCCCTCAGCCTTGTCTTAGCTGATTTCTCTTCAGAAAGAATTTGCAGGAACCTGTAACCTGGGAAAACACTTTCTCTCTTCCTTCCATGACTTTGCTCTCTCTGGGTTTTCTTTCTGCTTTTCTGGCTAATTCCTCTCTGTCTCCTTCAAAGGCCACTCTGCTCACCCCCGAAGTGACCAGTATCCCCAATGGCTCTGCCCTTGGTCCCTTTATCCCCCATGTTCACTCATCCACTTCGTGGCTTCAGCCACCACTTTTATTCAAACAACTCTCAGACCTCTACAGTGGTTTCCTGACCTCCGGGGGATCCCCTCCAGCCTAGCCTCCACCCAAACAACATCTAGACCTTTACGGAATGCAAATCAAAGCATACCACTAAGCTGGGATAAACAAGCAAAGGCGCACTTCCTCGGTCAAAGTCCTCAAATGGGTCCATCTCCATCCCCCTCAGGCTACACCAAGCATTCACAGGTCCCATAAATAATTATAAGTAAACAAATTAGAGAAGTAAATAAAGCTATTCTGTGCTTCAGCAGTTTTGTTTAGACATCTCTGTGAGCCTAGAACGCTGCTCTCCCAAGTCCCCACAAAGCCCGTCCCTGACCATTTTTCTAGGCTGTGCTGTGCTAGCCGTCCTCCCACGACACTCAGTGCGATTCAGACACTCGTACTAAGTGCCAGGGCGCCCTGGTGGCACTCTGCACCCTAGGGCTCCTTTTCTATCTTTTGTCTGAATTCCTTGAGGACCAAGACGGTTCCTCTTATCTCTCCATCACCAGGACTCACTTAACATAGGGGCTGGGGTGAAATATACTTAAAATTAACGACAGATTAATAAAATTATTAAAGAGCTGGGCTACAGAGCCTTCATGGAACTTAAAAGCCAGGTGTCAAGTCTCAGGCTCTTTGGAGAGTGGCTACAGTCACTGGTCAAAAACGAACTTCAGGGCCACCCAGTGTGCTCGGCCTGTTGGACACAACTCCTGGGTGTCCCTAAAGCACTGCAAATTCCTACCTGTCCGAAACGGAACACAGGCCATGTCTCTCTCCCAGTAAATCTACTCTTGGATTACAGTTCCTGTCCATGGTGCCATTATCCTTCCAGTCATTGAGGCTTGGGACCACGGTCTTCTGAGTCCTGCCTTCCCAACACACCAATCTCTAAGTCCTGTGGCTTTGATCTCCTCAGTGTGTTTTTCATTCTCTACCCTCTTCCCCTGCCTTTTAACTGCAGGACAGACCCTGCACTGGAAATATGGAAGCTCTCGGCTGAGGAACCTCTAGTGATGTGGAGAGGGACGTGGCAGGGACCTGCCCAAGAGGGCCATGCACAGATCCTGGTGTTCACCAGCCCCTAGTTCCTTACCGTCAGCTCTAGCTCTGGCATTCCGCTGGGTATGGCTGTGGGCTGTGCTCCCTGGAAGAGCGGGCCCTGGATCCATCAGCTGAGTCACAGGGCCATGCCCAGCAGCTCTCAGGCCAGCAAGTGGCATCTCGCTGGAGTGGGGACCCTGGCAGGCCTGGATGGACCAGGGCTCTGGGCCATCTAGGTCCATGCTTGGCCCCAAGGGCATGGGTGGCAGGCTATGGCTACAGCAAGCGCCCTCTTCCGGTGGGCCCACCCTATCTGGTTGGGCTTCTTGGATGGGTGAGAACTCCTGGGAGGAGTCCCCAACGCTCGCCCGAAGTGGGGGGGACCCAGAGCCTGCAGCTTTCTTCCGGCCCTTGGCCAGTTCAGCGAAGGAGGTGACACGCTTGGGTGGGGAGCCAGGCCCAGCCAGGGCTGCAGGTCCCTCACTCAGGCGCACCGGGCAACTCAGCATACGCTCCAGGGAGCTCAGGCGGACAGGCGGGCTGCGCTCCAGGCTGCGGTCATAGCTGCGAGAACGCTGACGTCCAGTGCTGAGGTTGGGGGGGGATGTATTCGTGTACACACGTCCCTCCATCATAGGGGGGCCCATGGCAGCCACTGCTGCTGCTGAGGATCCCACTGCTTCTTGGGCCTCTGGCTGGCTTTCTGGCTTCTGAAACAGGTAGTACTCGGAGGGCTGGCTGGGGCCCGGGTCTGGGCCAGGACCTGGTGTGGGACTTATCTTTGTGTGTTCTTCTGAGCAGCTGGTGACAGAAGAGCCGGCTGGGCTTGGGGATGACTGGGAGGACAGGTCACAAGTGACAAGTTTGTAGTAATTCTGTGTGGCAACAACGAGACGAGCCTGGCTCTGAAAGCAGGCTGTGAGGTCAGCCACAGCCGGGCAGGGCTCACAGTGTGGCCGGTAGGAGTTGCAGTTGGCATCGAGCTCAGGAGATGAGGCGTGGGGACAAGCATAGCCCCCTTCCCTTTCTCCACCGTCAGGGTGGTGGGACTCACAAGACATCTTAGACTCAGCTGGAGAAGGCTGCAGGTCCAGATAGAAGGCGCCAGGGTCTGAGTGGCTACAGAAGGAAGAGTCGCTGCAGGACTGTGGGGCAGAGCTGAGATTGGCACGGGGGCTGCCATGCATTTTGTTGTAGAGGGTGCTGAAGGTGACCAGCACACCGTCGGAGCTGTTGCAGGAGGAGTCACTCACGTAGCCCATGGACTGGTCAGCCGCCTCAGACTGGCTGGACGTACTGCCGCAGCGACAGGGCCGAGGTCCTGAGCCTGGGCACCCGGGGTTCCTTGGGGAGTCATCAGAACTGAGCTTCCATTCCTGGTCAAAGGAAAAGCCTGAGGTTTCACTGGCCCCACCTGCACTGCCACTGCCCCCAGGCCCCCCCCACTCATCCAGCTCCATGGTGGTCTCCGCTTCCAGGTCTGGCCTGCAGTAGCGGCCAACACTGCAGTGCTGGCCGCCCGCAGTAGTGACTGGTTCCTGCTCTTGGCCCTCCACGATTCCAGCTCGGCTGCGTGTTGCCCCCCACGCTCTGCCCCCTCCAGGGCCAGGTGGTGGTAGCTGGAAAGAGGGCAGGTGGAAGGTGGGCTGGCCAGCTCCATGAAGGTGGAAGGACTGCTGAGTGGCACCATCACTAATGCTGTCATCATATAGGTCCCCAAGTCCTGGCTCACTCACGCCCTCCTGCAGCAAGAAGGGATTGTGTCGCTTAGGACCCCCAGGGCCTCGGGCACCCCGACCTCGACTCTTGGTGCTACCAGCAGACCGCGCCGAGCGGAGGCTGTTGCACAGCAGGGAGTCCGCCTGGCCCAGGTCCTGGTCAGGCTGGGTGGTGCCCAGATCGGACGGGCAGAAAGGCCTTGTGCTCCCAGCGCCTCCACCTGCCCCACCACAGCACTGTCTGTCTGGGACCTGACAGTGTACCAGGGGGATGTGGTGGACGATGAGGGTCTCTCCAGTCAGCTTGGGGGGACTATCCATTCTGGAAAGTTCGAACAAGGGCATCAATGGCACCAGACACTGCCCCCGGAGCCCAGTGGGGCAGACCACATTTCATCAGGAGAGCTTGACACCTGGAGAGAAAGGGAAAGAAAGGGAACCTAATGTCACCTCCCTGGAAGTCAGGGACACGCCCTTCAACATACCATTTTCAGATGGAGAAGAGCCCAAGAGGGAAAAAGGTTCAGTGGAGACGGAGTCCTGCTACCACCGCCCTGTAGGGCAGGGGTAACCGCCACAATCTCCTGCAGGGCACAGGTCAGCCCTTGTCCCCCTCATGTCATGTTCACCATTCATCCATCAAAAGAGAAGGCCAGGCCTCTTTTAATGCCACATAAGCAGGTCTCCAGACCTCAGGGTCAGCACTTTCTCTCCTCCTTCAAGGATCCTGTCTTTACCGTAAATAATGACTAGTCCTAAGAAAACTATGAATGGTGACATCACTAAGAAAAAAACACTAGATGTCTGAAAGAGCGCTGGTCCCAAGGGGACATGGAGAGAGGTGTCTCGACAGGGCTTTAGCACACACATCTACAGACTAGGGAAAAACAGTGAGGAGGATCACGCCCTCAAAGCTTGAAGCTATAATTTCCTAAGAAAAGTATTTTCAAATATACTATGTCACTTGGACAACTGACTTCTACCTCTGACCCCCTTCTCCTCCAAGCCCCAGAATGCCTGTCCCTCTATGATGGGCTATGGGCAGAATATTGTTACTATCTCCACTGTGGCACTAGGGGTCCTTGAATGCAAGCATGGCCGATGCCAACCTCTCCTCCTCAGTGGGTGGGGTCTACCTTGTTTTCTGTCACTCTAGCACAACATCACGTAAAGCCTGAAACATGAGAGCATAACACATTCTTACCATGTGTCTAGGTCAGGATACAGACCTCCTGAGGCACCCAAATCCTGCCGCTGCTGGCCTAGCAGCTTCACCACTAGGGCCCGTTAGAAACGCCTTCTCTTCCCAGTTTGGTATTTGCTATAAGCTAAGTTCTCTCACGTTCAAGGTCTCTTAGCCCCAAGGATGCTGAGCCCATTCTGAGCTTTTCTGGCATCTGGGCTCTTGGCTTCCCCACTTCTCACCTCCAGGTTTCTAATTCCGGTCTCAACAGCCTTTCCTCCCATGGACTCTCAGCTCGAACTTCTCATCATCCACTCCCTTCTCTGCTCCCTTTCTCATTCCTGTCATCACCCTTTCACCCCTATTACCGATCCCTAGTCCATCATTTAGCTGAGTCGTGGATATCCCAAGTTCTTAACCTTTAGTTCTTTTGGAACACAGGATCCTAGTTGTTCACTTGGAGTACAGGAGAGAGCTGGGTAAATCACATATGCTCAAGGTCATGGACAGCACATACGAGACAAGACTCAAATGGCTAATTAAATACATGTGTGAGAGAGGAAGTAGTAAAACATCATTATTTCTATTAAATTAAAGTATACGCAAATGAAAAAGCAAATAGTTACAGTCTTTCTTTCTCGTTCCCTTTCTGAGAGGAATGGTCCTCCGTTGGATTCCTAAGTCTCAGTGTGCTGACCGGCTGGAGTAGTGGGTTGAGATGGAAAAAGGCAGGAACTAGCGAGACTAGGCTAGAAGATGAAGGTTGCAGGAGAAAACAAGAGTAAATCTTCCTCATCTTGGATTAGGCAGTGGTTTCTCAGAGATGACACCACAGCACGGAGACAGAAGGAAACACAGACAGATGGGGCTTCATCTGGAGAAAACCTCTGTACTTCAAAGGTTAACATCAAGAAAGAAAGACAACAACCCGATCACGGGAACCTGTTCTGTAAATCACGTATCTGATAAGGCCTTCTATCCACGATGCATAAATAACACAACTCGATATTAAAAAGGCATAACCAGTGAAAACAAGGGCATAGGATTTGAGCAGTCATTTTTCCAAAGAAAATATACAAATGGTAACAAGTATAGGGAAAGATGCTCAGAACTGTCAGTCATTGGAAAAATGCAACTCAAACCCACAGGGGAGACTACCGACGCCCACTGGGACGGCTAGAGTCAAAGTCAGGTAACAAGTGTTGGGGACCATATGCAGCAACTGCAGCCCTCAGACATTGTTGGCGGGATTGTAAAATAGTGCAGTTACTCTAGAAAACAGTCTGGCAGGCCTTAGTCTCTCAAAATGTTAAACTTAGAGTTACTGTACCCCCCAAAAAAACAACACCTTGAACCCATTGCCACTGAGTCAATTCCAACTCATAGCAACCCTCACAGGGTTTCCAAGGCAGTGAATCTTTACAGAAGCAGACTGCCTCATCTTTCTCCCACTGAGCTGCTGGTGTTAGAAGCCCAGTGCCTTAACCACAGTGCCACCTAGGTGTACACACCTAAGAGAAATGAAAGCATATGGTCACATAAAAACCTGTTTAGGCATTTTAGGCATTTTGCTAATGGATACTTTGCCACGAATCTTGCTGTTCATAGCTGCAATACTTAATAGCAGTCAAGAAGTAAGCAACCCAAATGTTCACCAGCTGGTGAGTGAAGAAACCAAACGTGGTCTACACCACGAGACATTACTCAACAACCCAGCGTAATGCAGTACTGACACAAGCTGCAACGCGTGACTGATGTCCATAGACCGTGGTGAGCAAAAGGAGCCCATCACCAAAGGCCTTTGACAAAAAGACACCGTATGATTCCATGTAGATGAGATGTCCAGAACAGGAAAAGCCACAGAGACAGAAAGCAGATTAGGGGTTGTCAGGGCCTGTGGTGCCGGAGGAATGGGAAATTACTGCTAATGGGTGTGGGGCTTCTTTTTGGGCAATGAAAACATTCTGAAAGCAGACAGTGATGATGGGTGCACAACTGTGAATATCATGAAAACAGTGAACTTGAACACTGTCCAGCAGCTGGTGGGTTTGAACTGGTGATGTGTTGGTTAGCAGCCCAATGCCTTAACCACTTCACCACCAGAGCTCCTTTGAATATAGGAGCAGCTGCCTTAAATGTGGGATTTTGTGGCGAGCGGTAAAGGATTTCTGAGAATTTTGCTGGAAGGTACATGAGGTAATTTTCCCGCCCCCCCTTCTTTCCAGCTCTTCATTTCCTTCACTGAGAAATCTCTGGGCTCAAATACACATGCTACAAGCATAGCAGAAAGTGGACAGTTGGGAACACTCTAAAATTTCAGTGATCAATGACTGTATTAATCAATTGAAAGATGGATTGACACAGTGGCTGTGGTGATGGGCTCAAGCATAACAAGGATTGCGGAGCTGGTGCGGGACTGGGTGGTGTTTCCTTCTGCTGTGCACGGGGTCACTATGAGTTGGAGACAACTCAACAGTACCTAACAACAAACCCAACAATCAACTGACACAATATAATTAAAAATGTTGTGTTAATTAAGATGACTGACTTGGAAAGATGCTCACCAAAGAAGGTTCCAGCAGAGGGTGTGTAGCGCCATCTAGCAGTGATTTCGGGAGCAGCCACAGGCAGATTCGATCTTCAGTGGACACTTTTTCCCCCTGAGAAGCTCCATTTTCAAGAGGTCTTCCCAAATATACACACATACGAATCGATGATTCTGATCTATGAACCATTCCCGGGACAGACATGCAGACAGAAGGAACAACGTAGTGACACACAGACAGTGTGGAAGGCGGATCCTTAAATCAAGGATGAAGAGCCAAGGCATATGGGAGGTGAAGGAACCACTTCATTGTAATATACAGCTGACAGCTGGGTCATAATGCTATGTTCATGGGTCTGTCTCCCAGATAGCAGCACTCTCTCGAGGTCAGAACTGTGACGTAGTCAACTCTGTTCCCAGAGCCCATTACAGTCCCGGGAACACAGTACATGCTCAGTTATCTGTTTGCCCCATTGGACTCATTTTAAACACTGGGTGGTCTTTTATGCCTGAGTTGTAGGACTTCTTTGTCCGGGACACAAGTCCTTTGTTGGATTCCACATGCTGCACATTTTCTCCCAATCTGTGGTCTGCCTATTTCTTTTCTCAAAAGGGTTTTTAACGAATAAACAAACTCAAACACACTGCCGTCGAGTCGGACCCGACTCATAGCAACCTCTCCTTGGCTTTCTGAGGTGGTATCACTATGGAAGTAGATTGCCTAGCCTTCCTTCTGAGACGTGGCTGGTGGGTTTGAACCACCAGCCTTCTGGTGAGCAGTCACATGCCTTAGGCACTATGCCACCAGAGCTCCTTTTTAATGAATAGAGGTTTTAAATTTCGATGAAGTTCAGTTTGCCAGTAATTTTTTTTTATTGTACGGTTAAAGCTTTCTATGTCCTGTTGATGGAATCTTTGCTTAATCCAAGATTATGAAGAAGTTTTCTTATGTTTCCTAATAGAAGCTTTACAGCTTTAGCTTTTACTTGTAGGTTTGTGTTGAATCATATTTTCAGTGTAAGGCTCTTTCATGGAGTGATTTTATTTCATTTCATGTTTTTGCATCTCATAGATGGTCCAACTCCTACCTGAGCTCCACGCGATGGAGGGAAATGTCCACTAACAGTTTCACCACAGACGAGTCCCACTTAGCCAACCAGAGAGAAATCCTGCAGGCCTCTCGTGATATTCGGTAGCCGTAACTTGCTCCAGACACCTTCACAGTTCCTACAAAGCACTTTTTATGTCTGTCATTTCACTGACCCTCACAGAAACTCATAAAAGCAGGCAGAACCACCCTAACTTTTAAAAACAAGAAAATTGGAGCCTAGAAAAATGATTTGTCCAAGATCATCCAGTGAATAAATGGCAGGATCGAGATGGGACTCAGGATCTGTTTCTTGAGCAGCGAAGTACACAGTGAGAGCACAGTGATGAAGACTAGATCTCAAACACCACAGAGCACGTTTAGTGAAAGCTCAGCTCACACTTCTTCCTGGGAGTGATTTGTTCTACACCAAGACAAGTTTGACAGGTTGTCCATGAATCTGAACAAAGGTGATCAGGAGACACTGAGAGGAGGAGCCCATTCCACATTATTTTGCACCAAGACTAAACGGAGAGAAGTGGCAGATGAACATGAGGAAGAAACGGGGATCC